ATTAGCAAATGAAGGTCCCAAAAGTTTATTCCATTTACATCATTAAAGCTGACTTTACATTGAGGAGGCACCTTTTCCCCAGATGTATTCTGATTGCCTTTCAACCTGAGGGGTTCATCTTTCATCACTCTTATCACTGTTTCCTTGCTATTTATAAGGTCTTTAGCAGCCCAGTTTTTTCCCAAAAGTGGACCTAGACACCATATTTTTCTTCCAAGTCTGTCTGAGCCAGGAAGTTCCACTGAAACTTGCCCACCATGGGTGACCCTGCTGTTGTTGGAAATACCAGTGACATAGCTTCTAGCATCGCAACATCATGTAGGCCACCACACTATGACAACATGACAGATGGGTGGTGTCTGCTCATCTAGAATCATTTAACCAAAAACTCATTGCTATCAAGTCAATTCTGACTCATAGCAACCCCCTGGGTTTCCAAGGCAGTAAATCTGCCCAATCTTCCTTCTGTTGAGTGGCTGGTGGGTTTGAAATGCCAACCTTCTGGTTAGCAATCAAATGACTTAGGCACTACACCACCAGAGCTCCATTTGACTGCTAACCAGAAGGCTGGCAGTTCAAACCCACCAGCCACTCCACAGAAGGAAGACTGGGCAATCTACTTCCATAAAGATTTACTGCCTTGGAGAAGATGGCAGAATAGGCAGACAAGTTCCACAGACCCTCTTCAACAAAGAAAAGAGAAAACAATTGACCAATACAGAAGGTAATCCTGGAGCTCTGAGCTTTGAAAGGAAGTATAAAGAAGTGGATTAGGCACCAGCTAGTGGAAAAACATGAACGAAAACAGTGAGTACAGAGATGGTCAGAGCTGTGGACTGTCAGCTCCTCTGACAGGATTGACAGCCTGAATATTTCCAACAGCTTTTGGGACCTGAGAATTGCCCTAAAGATCAGCCCTGGTCGCCAAGACTGGAGGGACAACTGCGCTGGTGGCTTGTGACTAGGAAGGGAAACGGCAAGGAGGGAGACAACCTGAGCTGTGGACTTCTGGCTCTCCAGAGGGTGCAGCCATTTTGATTATTTACACATGGTGGCCATTTTGGATATTTAAAGTGACCGAGGGTGCAGCCGTTTTGAAGGTTTATAAGCAGCAGCCATTTTGAATTTAAAGCAACAGGATTCTCATTTGGATTCCAGGGACCTAAGATTAGACTACATTTGCCAAGGACAGCAGGGACATATGGGAGGCAGACAACAGGAAAGGAGACAGGTAGTAAGTGTGTAAGTGCTGCCAGCTAGCAAATAGAGGAGCACAGTGCAGTACCCTGCTTACGCAGATAACATACAAACAAAACAAAACAAAAATCATGGGCAAGTCACTCCAACATACAATCACCAATTAAATATAAACACAAATACATCACAATGCCTAGGAGACAACAGAGCATCACAGTCCACACAAAGAAGCAAGATAAAGCAGGAGAAAAAAGGGATCAGGATACAGACCCAAAACACATCCCTGAGGAAGATGCAGCATTGGAACTCCCTGATAAGGAATTCAAGAGAATTATATTTAGGTACCTTGAACGAATTAAGAGATAGATCAAGGAAAACACTGACAAAATTGAGGAAGACACAGAGAAAACCCTTGAACAATTTCAAAAGACATTATAAGAACAAAATGACAAAATAAATGAAAAATTAGAAATGATACAAAATCTAGACAAATTCAGAAAATTAATACTAAATTTTCAGAAATAGATAACACATTGAATGGGCAAAGGAGTAGAATTGAATCAATGGGAGACAGAATTAGTGAGATTGAAGGCAAATACCTCAATACTTCTTTGGAAAGGGAACAATCAGAAAAAAGATCAAAACAAAATGAAGAAAGCCTAAGGTTCATGTGGGATACCATCAAAAGGAATAACCTACGTGTAATCGGAATTCCAGAACAGGAAGAGACAAATAAAACCACAGAAAAAACTATTGAAGATTTGTTGGAAGAGAATTTTCCTGGTATAATGAAAGATGAGAATATATCCGTTCAAGAAGTCCAACAAACCCCAAACAGGATAGACCCCAAAAGAAAATCACCAACATATCATCATCAAACTCACCAAAACCAAAGACAAAAAATCCTGAAAGCACCATGGGAAAAACAAAAAGTTACCTACAAGGCGGAACCAATAAGACTAAGCTCAGGTTTCTCGGCAGAAACCATGCAGGCGAGAAGATAATGGGATGTTGTTATTTGCCGTCTAGTTGGATCATAGCAACCCTTCCTCGGGTTTCTGAGGTGGTATCACTATGGAAGTAGATTGCCCAACCTTCCTTCCAAGGAGTGGCTGGTGTGTTTGAACCGCCAGCCTTCTGGTTAGCAGTCAAGTGCCTTAGGCACTAAGCTACCAGAGCTCCCACTACGCTACCAGAGGAGAAAAATTTCCAACCATGAATTATATAGCTGGTATACAAATGATGGTGAAATTAGGACATTTCTAGATAAGCAGAAATTAAGGGAATTTGTTAAAACTAGACCATCCTTGCAAGAGATGCTAAAGGGAGTCCTTTGGACAGAGAATCAATAACAGCAAACAGTAACTGACCATTAACACACATAATGACATAACCAAGAAACCAACCCAGTTATAGAAATATCCAAAGTAAATAAGCCTACAAGATTGTAAACAAGAAACCAGCGACATCAATTGACAAATGAAGACAACTACAAACCAAAAAGAGGGAAAAAGCTGTCTAGTTACAGAACTTCTAAATGGTAGGGAAGCCAAGACAACTAAAGATAGAATGACTATTTTAAACTTGGGAAGAAATTACAAATCACAGGGTAACCTCAAAGAAAAATGATAAACTTTCACATCAAAATTAAAAAGAGGAGCAGTACAAATATTTACCAAATACTAAAACAATAGCAACAAAAGAAGTGATAACATGATTCATAAACAAAACGAGCTCAGCACAGAAAATATATGAAACAAAGTAATCAACACCACAAAAAAGCACATAAAATGACAGCAACAAATTCATACTTGTCGATAATTGCATATCTGACAAGGGACTTACCTCTAAAATTTATAGAAAACTACGACACTTCAACAACAAAAAGATTAATAATCCCATTGCAAAAACGGCAAGGAGGCCACATGTTCTGACCTCCTCTAACCCTACAAGAGGAAGACAGGATTACCAGCAGTAACCCAAGGCCTATTCCTGCCAGGCCAGACATGCTGCCTCCCCCCTCCAGCCCTTGCTCCAACT